AAAAAAAAAAAAAAAAAAAAAAAAAAAAAAAAGGTTTCGTAAAATTGCAATATAAACAACTCCTGGTTGAGGGTTACATCAAAATTCCTCACGGAATTAGAGATTAAAAAAAAAAAAATCACACTAAAAGACCCTCCTTTAACCCCTCTTAGCCCCTTTAAAAACAATTTATACCCCCCTTTCCCTTGATAACCAACTCTAAAAAACGGAAAAGAGCCCAGAATTAGGGTCCTCTGGGAGAGCACAGAAAGAACGCCCGGGTACCCCAGGCATCACGCCCGGGTGCCCGACCGTGCATGAAAAAATTCCTAAAAAAAAATAAAAATAATAATATTTTTAAATTTGATTAAAAACATCGATGTGACCTTGAGGCAAAAGCTGTTCATTTTTTTTTCTGCATAACATAGTGTTTGTTTTCGATTTTTTTATTTTTTTTATTTCTTTTGGATTGGGACCTTCTCTGGTCCTTGGACGGCCGGGTCGCCTAGGAAAATAGGGTGACCCGAGCAGCCCGGTTGGTAGCCTAGGTAACAAAAAAAAAAAAAAAACATTCGGTCAAGCATCATCTATAGATTCTTACTAGAATTTAAGAAAAAAAATAAAAACAATACCGGATTAAAAAAAAAAACTCGTACGAGGCCCCTAGCGGAATCCGTACTCATATGAGGGTGCGTACAAGTAACAACGTAGTGTGTGTGTGGGGGGGAGATTAGGTGTAGGGGTGCTTGTGTGCGTACGTTTGTGTGTATGCACACGACATTATCATATTGGTCATACACAACTAAAAAAAAAAAAAACATTGTGTCTGGTTACTATGATCAATCATTCAATCAATCGTCTGTGTTTATGTGTGTGCGTGTGGTTCAGTGTGTTGTTGACAACTTCACAAAAACTCGTATCTTGTTGTGAAGTTGTGTATAGCTAACATGGCAACACACACAACTGATTTATTAAGTAATTAAAAAAAAACAAAGAGGGAAAATAAAAATAAAAATTGCGAGGGTATCCAGGTCATTTGACCTCCCATTCTTCAGTTATTTGTAGTTTTTGTTTCGGTAAATGTATAAACAGCGGTATCTTAAGGAAAAAAAAAAAGTTCTAAATTTGTTTTTGCGGGCCTCGAACGTCCCGTACCACCATGCTCTCCTGAAAACAACCACCCAAAAAACATTTGAGGGAGTGGGAGACCCCTTTTAGGGCAACAACACTACATATGTGTATATGAATATTCAAATAACAATTTGGTTTTATCAAAGTATTACCTAAAGATTTAATCCTTTTTAATTTATGTTCATTAGTTAACAATTTTCATCCCCTAAAAAAAAAAGAGTTGAGTATACATATTCAGAAGACAAAAAACTATTTTTACATCATTTTATTTTATATTGATAAATCTACCCTATAAACACAACCCTCGTGACAATTTGTATTTTTTTTCCTCCGTATAATGAGTTACTGCTTTACAATTGTCCAGAACTCGTTGAAGGGAAAACTATGTATTGTACTTTCGAAAAACAAGAATCTATCGAGCTTTTATACTTTGCTTTGCCGTTAAACTAGAGGATTATATTTTTTCATCTTCGTTTTCGAAATACTTTCTATATTTCTCACTCCTTCAAAGAGCCAATTGTTATTATCCACTCGTCATGAATCGTTAGTCGCTTATTATCTAGGTAGCAAATCAAGATATCTGGAAGGTCAATTTTATCTAGAATCTTCAATCCGGATGAAAATTACGGATTATATCCTAGATATGGAAAATTCGGCCCTGCACAAAATATATTTTTTTAACTGAAAAAAAAATCGAGAAAATCTGAACAAAAGTATATTGTTCATATCAATAATACGAACAACTTTTGGTTTGAGGCCATCTTTGATATCTCAACAACAGATATGAAGATAAAAAATAAATCAGAAAAAACAAGTAATATTAAGATAAAAAATTATAGAATGAGTTAAACATCACCCGTCTAAACCCTTTTATTCCCTATCTTACCATTTTTAAACCCTTCCATGACATATCAAGCTTTTTATGAAATAAGAACATAGTTCTATTGTATTTTGTATGCGTAATATCACTTTTTTTTTTTTTTTTTTTTTTTTAATCATCCGAATTTCCGAATGATCCTACCCCCCCGATCACCCGACCAGATAATCCGACCAGATTTTCCAGTTAGATAACCCATGCTACCTAACTTATTATGACTTTATATTCTTTAGTCTTAAATGTAACAAATAAATTATGAATAAATAAAGCATTGGAGTAATTACGACGAATAATGATGCTTACATCAATAGTGTATCACATATTTTCTAACTAAAACATAATGAACTAATGGTTCAAATTTATTTATTTATTTTCTAAATTTCAGAGAACCTAGGTAACCCTTACTGATCAATCGATAAATCTCGTGGATATGCTGATTAGAAGACGAAAAAAAAATTATGAGGAAATTTGACGGCATATAAAAAAAGCGCATGTCATCTATAAAAAACCGCGTATCATCAACTTTCCTCATACTTACTATAAAAAGATAGGTAATTATGTTTCCCCCTTTCACTATTTATTTTTTCCTCCCAAATTTCTTCGATATAAAAAAAACACATTTATATTTACCTCTTATGCTGACTGTTTTTTGTCTTTCCTACATATCGATTTAAAACTCCATTTTTTTAAATTCTAGTAGCATGTGCGAGTCAAACTTTTGTTAGAGTCATGCAATAAATAAACTATAAAAGTGCGCTTAAGATTTATTTTTATAATTTATTATATTAATGACCCCTCTTTAGGGAACAAGGATCATGTTTTCATTTATGTCATCAACCTTTAACTATATACCAATCCTTAAGAAACTACAATTTATTGCTTTCAAATTTTAAATGTTCATTATAATCTTTTTAAATTATTTAATTCATAGGTGTTAGGATAAATTTACATAACAAAATATAAAGATGTCAAACAATAAAACCCAAAATTTTAAATTTTCATTAGCACAATGCTAGGCTACGATCCGGGCCACCCGGGCAGCAAAACCTTGCCCGGGACCTGCCTGGCCCGCCCGGCCGGGCAACTGGACCGGTCGGAACCCCGGGCCACCCCGCGCGCACTTGGGTCAAAGCCTAAAATCAGGGTTGAAAAAGGGCGAGGTGATGGGGATGGTCCCTGATTGTAACCCCCCATCGAAAAAAAAAAATCGGGCCCCATCAGACCCAATTTTTTTGGCCATTGTAATATCGACCGTTCATCCGCTCCGATCGACGGCTGAATCCGAATCGCGGTCCGTGTTCGAATTCGAATTCGAATTCGAATTCCAATTCGAACCCAAGCGGCCCACGCCCACGCACCCCCGAGCTGGCCTGGAGCACCGTTCCCCGTCCCTCGTCGCTGTTGTCGGCTCCACCGTCGTCCCCATCGCCACCACGTCGCCGTCGCCGTCGCTGGTGCCCACGTGCTACCCCGGAGCTGCTGCCACCGTCGTCTTCGTCGCCGTCGCCAACCATGACAGGAGGTACGTGCTCACCATCATCTCCTTCATGCCTCCTCCTCCTCCTCCTCCTCCTCCTCCTCCTCTTCCTCCTCTTCCTCCCCTTCCTAGCCCCTTGTATCAACTATTGGACAATCAACCTTGAGTCAGTATCACAATAAGATAGAAGGTGTTTGAGTCACTGTTTGTCTGTCCTGCCATAACTGAGACCAATTAGTTCATATGCATCCAAAAAATCATTCACTTGAGACCCTCTTAAGCATGAAATCCTTTCATCTGACCTCTTTTCGTTTGCGATATCCGACCCTCCTTTTATCGTGTCAACTCTCTCGACCAGCTCTCGTATAACACCAACCAAGGCCTTTTCATAAGTCCCTGCAGCGGAACTAGGTCTCCCTCGTCCAACCATTTTGACAATTAACTTTCCCCGATATTCTCTTATCTTTCTTTCTGTCACTTTTGTCTTCTTCTCTTTTATTTTCAATCTCCTACTCTTTTTGCAAGGGATACGGATTCCTTTCTCTCTTCCCTTGTTTGTTCCACTCCTTGATAATTATGTACATAGAGTGTGTAGGCAATAATAAACTCGTGGTAATCCAAGGTAAAGCAATCCTTCGCGGCCTTCCAATATAATCCTCAATCAGTTCCCTTTCATCATCCCWAMTCAATCTTCTGTTATTTCCTTTCACAGTACCCCAGATCATAAAGTACCGTGTTAGGTCTATAATCTCATAGTCAAAYTGCATGGCTTATTGATCGCCATTGATTCTCCTTGCAAGATAGACTCGTTCTCTAAAGGAGTGATATGATATTCTCTTAGTAATTCTCACTTTTACCACTTTTAGTAAATAGTTGATCTCAGTCTGGTCAGTAACGACTCTCAAGGCAGAGTCTCTCAGACGATCAAAGAGAGGTTGCTGAAACTCAAGTTCATCCAAAGTAGAGAGACTTCTTTCTGAGATCCGAAGAGTCTCTTCTGTCTTGACTACTATTCCTTCCAACACAGCCCCAAATGTTAGTTGTTCAACAGAACCAGACATTATCGATTATCTTAGACAGCGTTAGGAGAGGTAGGCCTCTACATGAGTATAATCAGAGATCTCAAAAATATTTAAGAATAAATACTTTATGACCACTGTGGAGTCACTCTCCCTTGCGTTACCTACTATGGCAATAGCTACCAAGAGAGGTGGTCAGTCTCTCTTGTCATCAAAGCCATCAATGGTTAAAAAACTAGTGAGTCTCTCACGTCTTCCTCCTCGTCTTCCTCTTCTTTCCCCCTCCCTTTCGTCCTCGTCTTCGTCGTCATCTTCATCCCCGTCTTCCTCCTGCTCCTCCTCCATAGCTTCCTCCTCCTCCTCTACGTCCTCCTCTTCCTCTTCGTCTTTGTCCTCCTCCTCGTCGTCCTTCTCCACCATAGCCTCCTCCTCCTCTTGTAGCTCCTCGTCTTCCTCCTCGTCCACTACCTGCTCGTCTTCCCTCTCCTCCTCGTCCTCGTCTTCGTGTTTCCCCATCGCCTACTCTTCCTCCTCTTCCTCCTCTTCCTCCTCTTCCTGTCCTCCTTGTATTCCTCCTCCTCTTCCTCCTCCTCCTCCTCCTCTTCCTCGACGTCCTCTTTTTCCATCGCGTCCTTTTCCCCCTCGTAGTATTCGTCTTTCTGCATCGCCTCCTCTTCGTCCTCTTCGTCCTCGTCTTCCTCCTCGTCTTCGTCTTTCCCCATCTCCTCCTCGTCCTCGTCTTCCTCTTTATCCATCGCCTTGTCTTCCCCCTCCTCGTCTTCGTCTTCCTCCTCGTCTTCCTGCCCGTCTTCCTCCTCGTCTATCGCCTCCTCTTCCTCGTCGTCTACCTCCTTTCGTTCGTCTTCGTACTCAACCTCTTCCGCCGCGTGTCTCCACGTCGGCCCCCTTTTTCTTTTCTTTTTTTAAATTTCTTTTGCTAATTTCAAATGTTGTTCTGTGCTTTGCTTGTCTTCGAGACCGGAGTTGCATTTCTGCTATTCGGTTCGAAACTTCGAACTTCGCGGTCGCAAGTATGCTGTTGTAGGTTATCTTGTAGTTGCGTTTCTGCTATGTCGTTCGACTTTCATATCTGCCATTCGTTTCCACCGTCACTCACTCACTCACTCACTCACTTAATCAATCAATCAATCAATCAATCAATCAATCAATCAATCAATCAATCAATCAATCAATCAATCAATCAATCAAATGTAACAGTCATCGGCCGTCGACCCGAGGATATGGACGGACCTTTTCGTCCAAGATCCGTCGTTTAACGACATACATTGGATGAAAAGTTCCATCCGTGTCGACGAATCGACGAGCGACGATTGATTGATTGATTGAATGATTGATTGATTGATTGATTGATTGATTGATTGATTGATTGATTTATTGACATTTAGAAATTAGAAGCCAAAAAAAAAAAAAAGGCTGACGTGGCAACATTGTCAGTGGTCATGGTTGCTGTTTTGCCATTCATATCTGCCATTTCGTTTCTGCTTTCTCGTTCGATTTTCATATCTGCTATTTGGTTCGACCGTCAATCAATCGATCAATCAATCAATCAATCAATCAATCAATCAATCAATCAATCAATCAATCAAACAATAATCGCCCGTCGATCCGTCCACGGGCGATTATTGTTTGATTGATTGATTGATTGATTGATTGATTGATTGATTGATTGATTGATTGATTGATTGATTGATCGATTGATATTTCGAAGCCAAAAAAGAAAAGGTCGACGTGGCAGCACTGTCAGTGGTCATCAATGCTTTTGTGTCCTTTGGTTGTCTTCGACACTTTAGACTTCAAGACTTGAGTAACTGAAACTTGAGTTCCAACTTCCAACTTCCAAGCTGATTCATCGAGGCTGACGTGGCATTACTGAAAGTTCAGTTCCATTTCTGCTATTTGGTTCGGGTGTGGGCAAGTGGTGTTCTAGGCTTAGTAGGAGTCGCGTTTATTTGAAAAATAATAATACCACAGAGGTGGCGGGCGGAAAAAAATGAGGGTGGAGGAAGGAGGAGGAGGGAGGGAGGAAGATGAGCGTTGGAAGGATGGGAAGACGAGGAGTAGGAGGAGAGAAGGAGGGTTGAACGAGGGTTGAGCGAAGAGGAGGAGGGAGAAACGACGAGGGGGAGGGAGAAATGAAGAGGGATAAACAAGAAAGGAGGATGGATGGAGAAAGGAGGAGGAGGGGGAAACTGGGAGGAGGGAGAAAGGAGGACAAGAAGGAGGCGATGGATAAACTTCAACGATGAGTAGGAGGAGAGAGAAACGAGGAGGAACAAGTGAGGAGAGGGGTAGGTGGACAAAGAAACGAGGAGAGAAAAAGGAGGAGGAAGGTGAAACGCGGAGGAGGAGGGACGATCGAGGACAAAGGAGAAAGAAGGAGGAGTAGGGAGAAATGAGGAGATGGGAGGGAGGAACGAGGAGGGGAGAGAAAGGAGGACAAATAGGAAAGGAGAGGGGTAGGTGGAGAGAGACGACGATGGACGAAGGTGGTGAAAGTAGGAGAAAGGACGAGTAGGTGGGTTGAACGAGGAGTAGGGGGAGGCG